TCTCTCTCTCTCTCTCTCTCTCTCTCTCTCTCTCTCTCCCTCTCTCTCTCTGTGTGACTCTCTCTCTGTCTCTCTCTCTCTCACCCACACCGTCTCTTTCTTCCTCAGTCAACTGCCCCCCCCCCTCCCAAAACACCCAATCGAAGGGGAACAGGGCTGTGTTCACTATCACAAATACAACCGTTAAAGGGCATGGTGTTCCTCTTCCTCCCCCTTTAATAAACTTCAACACCGGAAGATTTGGCATTCCGTCCCTCTCTCTCTTAAACATAAAATAGGACTCACCTTTTCGTAGTAGCCCTTACGGCCGTCCACAGCCCATTCGGCACTGAAGATAAAAAATGAAGTACATTTGTAATAACATGCAAGTTGACTCTTGGCCTCTATGGTTTTATAGAGTCTGTACATTTTATAGTTTGCGAGGGTGGGGGTAACCGTCAATAATATCACTTTCATGTTGCACTAGCAGAACAAGAACAACGACTATTACAGCAGTTATGTGGTATGGGGGCGTCTTCCCTTACAGCAATCCTAGCAACAGCAACTGCAACAATATGGAAACCTTTCCGTTTCAGCAACAAGTAAAGTTTTATTTTAACAACAAATGATAAAATGTTGGAATAAACAGGAACTGGAAATCAATACGACCTTTAAAATGAGAAGATGGGGATACTTATGATATAATTTGAGAATGCCAGAGACAATATTGTCCTACCAAACATGGTATTAGAGACCAACTGGACAAAAGATAAAGGGGTAGACCAGCTGGAAGTTACAGAAGCACAATCAGGAATGAGCTAATCACCTAGAGCCAAGATGTGCAAGATTTAAGGAAGTGGTCAGAGACAGGCAAATGTGGCTTAGACTGTTATTATGAACCTGACGGTATAGGGAGAGAGTGTAAGTAAAGTAAGTTACTGCGACAACTACAGGCTATCAGTATGTCAGGAACAAACAAACCCGCATTTCCAAAATAAAATGGTGTGTGTGTGTGTGTGTGTGTGTGTGTGTGTGTGTGTGTGTGTGTGTGAGAGAGAGAGAGAGAGAGGGGGGGGGGTGAAAGGGGAGGCATATGCTCCAGTTAGTTACCGCAGAAAGTTAGCTCTCCAAGTCTCTCCATGTATGGGTGCTGTGCGGTTCACTGAGGCGCCTGAACCCTGGTAGAGGGCGCTGAATGGGATAGCCATTTCGATCGTCCAGTGCTTGTCTGAAACGATGAATTAAGAAAATGTCTGCAATGGAACCCGGTTACAACGACAAATTCTGGTTATAACACTAACGTAGGCCGAATATGTATTTCTTCTTTTAGTTGTTGCCCCAACATTTCCTTTAAAAGGCGGACACGGGTGGGGG